TTTTTATATTGAGTTTCTTCCCAAATGTCAAGCTATTAACATACAGCCATTTACTTGAGTTTTCGAGCCGAGGCCCATTACAACTCCATCTACTTAAACAAAGGTTAGATAAAGAACAAGAAGAAGAATTAGTCTCTGGTGTATCATAAACTAGATATGTACTTTTGTGTTTGAATTGTAACGTTTGTTTCTTTCTTCCGTCTTCATTGGTTTTACTTACCGACACAGTTATGTTATGTCACCCCATTTGTAAGAGAATCATTATGCACAGTCGTTTCGCTTCAGAAATCAAGTAAACTTCAACATATTAACGACACAAAACAAGAGCAACAATCCAAAGAGTGCTAAAGTTAGTTCATAATGTAGCCAGAGCCAATTCATAAAAATAAAATTACGCAGGGCTTCTTCAGCAACCTTCAATAAAGCTAAGCTATTATTGTCTTCTACCCTTCTCCGTCTAGAGTTGTGTGGGCTTAATACATATTGGTGCTGGGCCAGGCTCATTTTTTCATAAAGACACGATGGGCACAAACGCATGAAACACGTTTGTTTTTTGGAGTATTCAAGTTGTTGGTAAAATGGTAACCAAACATTTTCGATTTTTTATTTGTTTCCTTTTTTCTTATAAACAATTTTCACTTTTTCAGTTTTTAGTCTTTTATTTGTATACCGGTCTTAAATTTTTTTTCCTCACCCGGAGTCAACTGTAGAATTAAATAATTTTTGGATTTAAATTTAGGAAAAATGTCAAAAATCTTCATTTTTTTAAATTGACTAAAAAAGGCAATTTTATCTTGATCGCTTTAAATCACTAAATATATTATTTTTTTATTTTAATTACAATTTTTTTGTTGATTGAACTAATTTAGATACATATTAAGTCTGTTGGTCAGAAAATATATTTTAAAATGTCTGTTGGTCAGAAAATGTCTCTCTCTCGAGGCGACGAAACTGGCGATTTTTGCTGTTCATACCTTTTCGATTCTCCGGGCCGGAGTAAGTTTCCGACCGACAAAATTCTGACATTTTGGGTGCCGGATTTCGTCGGCGGTTTTTGTTTGTCAATTTCATTTGACAGTTACCATTCTCCCTGCTTTTCGGGAGTAAACCGTCTCCCAAAACCGCCATGGCTCCGGCTATATATCCCTTACCCAATCTCTTTCTTCTTCTCTCACTTTCCACAATCCTTCTCCTTTCGATCCCATTCATCAAACACAATGTCTGACTCTCTGCGAAAATCGGTACAAGACCTTGACTTAGGAATCGGAGATGAACCATTGCGCTACCACCGGAGTTCTGTTACCAAGCATCAGCGGTTAACCGGTTCTCAATTGTGGTTACAACCGTTAATCCAAGGAAGCAGAATCTGAGGGCTTTGATTCACCAAATGCCGCGTGTGTGGGGCTTTCCCGACGCTTGTGTTGGTCGACTTATGGGTGGAGGAAGAGTTCAATTCAAGTTTCAGTCTGAAGAATCCATGAATTTGGTACTTCGCCGAGGGCCGTGGTCCTTTAATGATTGGATGCTGTCGACTCATCGCTGGTATCCGAACATAACTGAGACAGAAATGAAAATCATCCCTTTTTGGGTCTAAATTCAAGGTATCCCGATTCTTTATCTGACTAATGCAATGGCTGGATGGGTTGGAAATAGACTAGGGAACGTTGTTGATGTGGATTATGATGAGAATGTGAACCAAGTGGGATCAGTTAGGGTTAAAATAAACTGGAACATGGATGATCCTCTCCGTTTCCAGAGAAACTTTCAGTTTGTTGCAGGAGAGAATACCATTGTCAAGTTTCGTTTTGAGAGACTCAGAAACTTCTGCTCTAAATGCGGTTCTCTTAAGCATGATGCAAAAGAGTGTGTTATGGGATTTTCTGATGAAGAACCAGAAGGGTCTGATGGTGACAATGATGATGATCAGCCTTTTGATGGGAATGACAATAACATGTCTGATTCGGAAACCTCTCCATCAGTTGATCCATCCAAACTGATCCCTGGGTTACAGATGCTGCCTCAAAAGAGCAACAATAGGAAATCCTACAACAGTCCAACTGATTCCGGCCTGCCAAGTGTTTTTGAAGACCCAGAGTTAACAGCGGAACGTCTCAGATACTTGCATGCCAAATTTGCTAGACAACAATGTGTGTTTAATGATCAGAAGGAAGAAGGGTTAGAGGATGAGTCGGGAATCCACTAAATGAGTATCGGTTCATAAAGAGGAAGCGAGTGCGTTTCGAAATTAACTTCAACAAAGCAGAGGCTGCTGAGGAGTTGGCAGTTATGAGTCATCTGCGCAAGAAGGGTAAGAAGTCTGAGTCTTCAAGCTCTTTCTCAGTCACTCAATGTCTTGACGGAGGCGCGGGGGGCCCGATACCCCCAAAGGATCCGATATGAAGATCATCTCATAGAACTGTCGGGGTGTTGGAGTATCATTAACGCAATCTCGTTTAATCCGTTTATGTCGTATAACTAAGTGTGATGTTCTTTTCCTTATTGAAACTCTAAATAAGTGTGATGTTGTACATAATGTGGCTTGTATGTTAGGATTCTCTAATGTAATAACTCAACCCCCTCAAGGTAGAAGCGGTGGCTTAGCCTTGTTGTGGAAGGATAATGTGCGTTTATCTAAGAACTTTCAAGATGAACGCCTTATCGATGTACATATAACTAATAATAATATTGGGTTCTATTTGTCTTGCGTGTATGGTAATCCAATACAAAGCGATCGTCATTTCCTTTGGGATCGTATTGAAACCATTAATCAAACACGCAACGAGGCATGGTTACTTATTGGTGATTTCAATGAAATCCTCAATAATTCAGAGAAGATTGGTGGTCCTCAACGAGCAGAATGGACTTTTCGTGCTTTTCGTCATATGTATAGTTCCTGCGATTTTAGAGACTTGAGTGCGAGAGGTGATCGATTTTCTTGGGTTGGGGAACGCCATTCACACAGAGTAAAATGCTGTTTAGATCGAGCTATCATCAACACAGAATGGGCAGTCGACTTTCTAAATGCTGAATGTGAGTTTCTCGAATTCACGGGGTCAGATCATAAACCAGTTCTCATCAATATGGACGTGGTTGAAACATCGAGAAGAAAGCCCTTCCGATTTGATAAGCGTATGATGGATCTTGGGGACTTCAAACAAGGGGTAAAAGCCGGTTGGAGTGTTAACACAAACAACGGTGATACTTCTATCACGGATCAAGTAAGAACGACGAGACATGCCATGGCGAGATTAAGACATGTATCTACCTTAAATGCAGATTTAAGAATCAAATATTTCCAAGCTGAACTTAATAGAACCATGTCTAGTACTTCACGATCAGTAAGAAGTCGACTTTAAAGTCTTCAAGAGGAGCTAGCTCAAGCTTACAAAGATGAAGAAACTTATTGGAAATTAAAAAGCCGTAATCATTGGATGTAAGAAGGAGACAGAAATACAGGTTATTTCCATGCCTGTACCAAGGTGAGAGTGGCAAGAAATAAGATCACCTCCATACGTGATTTACAAGGAAATGTTTACAAATAATCATGAAATTCGTAGCTCTAGCTATGCCCGTTTATGCAATGTCATGTTTCAAATTACCTCTTGGTGTGGTAAATGAGATCGAAACCTTGCTTATGAATTATTGGTGGGAGAAAGTGTGGATGTCGGATTCACACACTCAAGTATTTTATTAAGTAGGAAAGATTATTCTTGAGGGACAAAAATGAATATGTAAAACTTATAAATTGCTACGAGAATTGCTATAGTATTTCTTTCTTGAGAGGAAGATCCCTTTACATGGCCATTGGCCTTTATATTTATACATAGAGAAATAACATTAAAACGAATAATTAAGTACAATTATTCCTTCTTAAATGTGTCCGTTTTGATTCTTCGACTTTAATGCTCAACGTTTGAATTTGAGTTGACTCTGATCTTCGTGGGCCTCGCCTTTTCGGCCCAAGTATCCTTGAACCGACTTACCCGTGTCTTCTACTCCGAACTCATGTCACAATGCAGTCACTTCGGATTCTCGAAGTGGTGACAACCACTTCGACCGTTCCTTCGGCTCATGGGTCCAATGGGCTTCATCCTTTATGGGCCATTATCTTGACTACGTGGCAATCTTTGGTTGGTCTCGGACTTCTGGTGCGGGATCCGACACCAACAGAAAGGTTCACAACAAAGAGGGATTCCATGGATAGCTTGGAAAAGGCTGCAATATTCTAAGAAGGAAGGAGGCTGGGTTTTAGAGATTTAGCAAAATTCAATGACGCACTTTTAGCAAAACAAGCTTGGAGAATGATTCAAAACCCAAATTCCCTTTTTGCAAGATTAATGAAGGCTAGATATTTCAAAGATGATACAGTATTGGATGCAAAAGCAAGAGCTTATCAGTCGTATGGTTGGGCGTCAATGTTAACAGGTTTAGCACTTATAAAAAAAGGTTCTCGTTTTCAGGTGGGTGATGGCAACTTGATCAGAATGGGGGTTGATAATTTGGTCGGTTCCCATCCACCAAGACCATTACAGGTGAATCCTACTTTTGAGTCAGAAACTTTGAAGTTGTTAATTTCAAGCAGGGGGTCTTTTCGATTTTGGGATTCAAAGTTAGTTGATAGTGTTGTCAACACAAATGATCATTCATTCATAAACAACATTTATCTCTCGAGAATTCCAAAACCGGATAAACTTATATGGAATTACAACAACAATGGAATGTACACTATCAAATCGGGTTATTGGCTACTAACACATGATCCTGGAGACCCACATGTTGCTCCTCCGATCCCTCATGGATCCATCGAGTTAAAAAACAGAGTTTAGAGGCTTCCTTTACTCCCAAAAATCAAACACTTTCTATGGCGGATTTTATCAAAAGCTTTGGCTACTAACACTCGTTTGAACACTAGAGGTATGAAACTGAATTCACAGTGCTCTCGTTGTCGTAATGGAGAGGAAACGATAAATCATTCTCTCTTCACATGTCCTTTCCCAATCATGACCTGGCGCCTCTCTGGCACACCGGCATTTCAGTCTCATCAACCTTTTAATGATGTGGAAGAAAATATTTCTAAATTGCTTGATGTTTATGATTCTCCACACATATCAAAGGCACTAAAACTATCTCAGTTTTGGATTCTGTGGAGGATTTGGAAAGCGAGAAACAATTTTGTGTTTAATCAATATAGAGAAAGTCCTTCAAAAGTCGTTTTGAAAGCAAAAGCAGAGACAAATGAGTGGATCACAAATACTGCTCCGAGGCTTAACTCTTCAATTTCACAATCTTCCAACAGTGAACAACCAAAGTGGTACACTCCAGAACAACCCTTTGTGAAGTGTAATTTTGATGCTAGTTATAGCCAAATCACTATGCAAGCTCGTGGAGGTTGGATTATACGGGATCATCACGGTACTGCAAAAGCATGGGGATCTTTGCATTTGAATGGTGCAGCCTCTCCGTTGATGGCCGAAGCAAAAGCACTTCTGGCAGCAATGCATCAAGCATGGTTAAGGGGATTCACTCATGTCATTTTGGAGGGAGACTGTGAAGTATTGATCAACTTAATCAATGGAAATTCCAGCCATACTGAAGTAGAGGACTTGCTGCAAGAAATAGGTTTTTGGAGAGGAAAGTTTAGTGACATAAGATTTAATTTTGTAAAACGATCTTGCAATTGTGTAGCTGATAGTTTAGCAAAATTCGTTTGTCCAATGTTGTTTTTTCTTCCGGATTCATGGATCCCGCCAATATGGCTTAAGGAACTGCTGTGTAATGATTTATCAATTTAATAAAACATGTTCTTGACGGAAAAAAAAAAAAATCGGATTTATGCATATTTTGTAGAGTAAAATTCAGGAATTTTTTTTTGAAGATATATGAAAAGATTGTGTAGAGATTTTTAGAAACAAATTAGGCAAGATATCGTTTGGTTAGTATCCTTTATTTAAATTTTGTAACTTAATAAAAAATGTCAATGGCATAAGTTGTAAATACTTCCCAACTCCAGGATTTATTTGCTAATTATGCTCCAAAAATGTATATATAGATATATACAATTTCTATAAATATATTTAAAATTTTAAGTCTAATTGATTTACGGTTGAATTGGGTTGTTCCGATGATTCAGACACTACTTTAATTTGTTGTCTCAGTCGGATTTAAAAACATTGATCAAATGTATTAAACCAATTCAAAAATAAATTCACTATTTGATCTTAATCTTTCTTTTTGTTTAACTAAAATAATACATCTAACTTCGGATCTAAAATACGATGATCTACAAAGTGATATGAATTAAAATCATGATTATTTGGTAAGATAAAATCGTACGCACTTGTCACAAAAACGACATCGGTGATGATCCATTATATCACAATATTTCTCATTCCCTGAAACCAATAAAATATTGGCTGCATCGGTATTATCCATCTTCCATATTGCCATCCTTGTGACAATTTTCATATCGCGTAAATTAGGTTTATCAGAAACTTATTCCCACACATATTGCTTAAACTTTTTTCAAGACAAATAAAGTAAAGAAACACATTAAGAATCTAGTAATTAGAATTGATGGAAATATATTATATAAAGAAATGCTAGTAATTAAGAATCTTAATTAATTGATAATATTAATGCCAATGACATTCTTTGTAAATAAGTTGCAACTTGAGGATTTATTTCATAAAATGTTGCAAAAATGTAGATATAGATAACACTCAATTGACACACTCAATTTGCAGCAACTACTGAAGAACAAAAGTCAACCATCGACCAAGCAGAGAACGAAAACAGATTTGTACATTTAGAGAAGAGGAGAGTGAAGAACTTACGTAGGAGAAGCAGAAGTTCTGGGGGAGTGTGAATCGTCGTCGTCAAAGTTGCTCACGAAGACTGGATCGAGAGATCAATAAGAGATGAATTGGTTTCAGAGTTCGGTGAGGACAAAATAGTCTTTTCCTCTTGTTAAAAAGTGGCAAATCAACAAACTGTTCCAAAAGGGACAAAATCAACAAATACCACTCGGAAAAGTCCCTTTTTCGTAATTGATTCAATATGGTATGATATTTTTTTATAAAACTATATATACAATTTCTATAAATATATTTAAAAATTTAAGTCTAATTGATTTACGGTTGAATTGGGTTGTTCCAATGATTCAGACACTACTTTAGTTTGTTGTCTCAGTCGGATTTAAGAACATTGATCAAATGTATTAGACCAATTCAGAAATAAATTCACTATTTGATCTTAATCTTTCTTTTTGTTTTACTAAAATAATACATCTAACTTCGGATCTAAAATACGATGATCTACAAACTGATATGAATTAAAATCATGATTATTTGGTAAGATAAAATCGTACGCACTTGTCACAAAAACGACATCGGTGATGATCCATTATATCACAATAGTTCTCATTCCCTGAAACCAATAAAATATTGGCTGCATCGGTATTATCCATCTTCCATATTGCCATCCTTGTGACAATGTTCATATCGCGTAGATTAGGTTTATCAGAAACTTATTCCCACACATATTGCTTAAACTTTTTTCAAGACAAATAAAGTAAGAAAAAACTTTAAGAATCTAGTAATTAGAATTGATGGAAATATATTAGATAAAGAAATGCTAGTAATTAAGAATTTTAATTAATTGATAATAATTAATGTCAATGGTATTCTTTGTAAATAAGTTGCAACTTGAGGATTTATTTCATAAAGTGTTGCAAAAATGTATATATAGACTAGGAATATTAAATGTGTATAAAACTTTTAGTATTAAAGTTATATGATTAATTAAATTTTTAATATTTTTAGATTTAACCCGTAGAATGTAATTTAGTAATGTAATATTTCAATTAGTCAATTACACATTTAGAGGTGTCAAAGGAGATTAACACTTATTTTGATATATTAGAATGTTAGATTTTTACAATTTTTTTGTTTAGTAAGTTATACGATCAATCTTTTGGTGTTTTTACGATTAACCCGTTAAACATATATAATTTAATAATTTAATATTAAAATAATTTTTTGTCATGTTTAAATATTCTACAAATCTTTATAATTACCAATCCATACTATAGTTTTATTCAAAAATCCAAAGCATGAAAGAAGAATATAGAATTTAAGAAAATATCTGATTTAGAGATTTGATTAAATAATCTCCAATCGAGATTATTGCAAAGATTTGAGTAACTATTTTGTAAGTATAAAATATTTCATTAACTATTTTCAAATCTTAAGAATTAAATTCAATGGCATGCCACAGTACACCGCAAGACTATATTTTCCTAAAAAAATCAAAATGTTATTTGTTTAATAAATTATTTTGATTGTTAATTTGAGGATTTCACCCGTGTTTTATATATATAAATATATATACTGAATTTCTATAGAATTTAAATATTATTAATATTACAAATTTTTTTATATAATTTAAATATTATAAATACTTTAAACGTTTTATAAAGTTTAAATATTTAGATGGATAAAATTTTTATAAATTTAAAATATTTATAATATTTAAAAATTTTATAAAGTAAAAATATTTATAATATTTGAAACTTCATAAGAATTTTAATATTAAAATATTATAAACGTTTATAAAGTTCAACTATTTAAATTTTATAAAGAATTATAAATTTAAGAAAGAAAAGAAAGTCACTACTATGTTTATGACTAAACTTATATCAATTATTAAGAACTTACTTTTTCATTGGCCAACACCAATTCAACAGACTCTCAAGTATTGATTTTGTATTCGTGCACATGAGTGGTAGATCTTAACCTCTACTTGTCAAACGGTTTTTGTAAGGACATAAGTCCGGAATCCCTTGAAAAGTTATAATGTAACAGCCATTATAATATGTAAGTTGTTTTTCGTTGGTAAGAGAGGTAAAGTTTTTTTTGATTGCGTGCTATTCCTGGATCTATGAAGAGGTAATTTATAGAGTTACTCGTAAATAGTAGGGTTTAGGGGTGATTCGTAATGGAGAAAATTTTGGTGAGAAAATACAAAATCGCAAAAATATAAAATTTACGATTTAATGCAACAGATTTAATAAAAAAGTAACGAATATGCCATAAATTCACACTTTGCTTGTTGTTATTAGTTTCCATTTGCTTATTTTCTACGATTCTATATTTCATTTTTTATAGAGAATATAGATGTTGTTTCGATTTCATGGTGATGTAAGCATCAATAAATCTTATTTGTTAATATTATCAAGAAAATCCTACTTTAAAGGAACTCGTATTATTGAAACTCGATTTAATTGGAGTAGAGGGATTATCGCAAATGCTAATTAGTGTAGGTAGTAATTAAGAGAGATTTGGAAAAATATCATGGAGTTAATATGGAGAAATTTGGGGAATTATTGGTTAGTAGCTAATCATCTCGTTTTAGTTAATAAAGAGAGATTTTGGCAAGTTTGTTAAATGTTAAATCTTTAATTCAAATATTTAATGTTAATTTTCGAATTAAAAAATTAAATACCAATGGCATTCTTTGTAAATACTTAGCAACTCTAGGATTTATTTGCTAAGTGTACTCCAAAAATGTATATATAGATGGACTAAAAAATAAGAATGCTTTCAATTTTTATAATTGTAAAAAGTGTTTTATTTTTGCTAATTTTTGATTGTATAAGTGACCCCAAATCAACAATAATCCTTATTATATTCGTGGGCTTTTCTATAAACAAAAAGATGAAATGTCCCCCGATTTGAAAATGCGTAACTTTGGGCTTTTTAAAAATTGCCCATATAAAAATCAATTTTAAACTGAACCCTAACTCCATCTCCATCAGTCATGTCCCCTCTACGCCGCATTATCCGAAATGCGACCGTATCAAAGGCGGTTCCGGTTGCGAAGGCGTTCAAGCCTTACCCACTCGGAAGAGACCCTTCCTCACTCCCCAAGCTTAAGTGGGTATCGATCAGTGAGACCGATAACCGCTCAATTTCTCTGCGCTACAGAGTCACGGCGATGATAGAGATGTCTCTTCTCGACAAAGCCGCGAATCTCTCACGACTCGCTGTCATGGACGACTTTCGAGTCGACAGAGACACCGTATTCATCTGAAATTCCGTAATTGGCGCCATGTGCAGCGCAAAACGGTACGATGATGCCATCTCTCTGTTCAATTATTTTTTCAACAAGTATCAAACTCTGCCAAACACGCTTTCCTGCAATCTCATCATCAAAGCACACTGCAACCAATGTCACGTCGACGACGCTCTTGAGCTCTACCGCCACATTTTGCTCGACGGACGTTTACATGTTACTCACGAAAGCCTTGGTTGATGCTGAAAGATTCGACGAAGCTTGTGATTTAGTGAGTTCCATGAGCTCTTGTAGTTTCATGGTCTACGACATTTTAATCCGCGGGTTCTTGGATGTAGGGAATTTCGTAAAGGCTAGCCAAATCTTCGAGGAACTGAAAGGACTGGATAGTAAACTTCCAGGGAGAGAATATCACACGGCAATTGCAATCTTTAATGTTTCGTTTATGAACTATTTTTTCAATCAAGGCAAAGATGAGGAAGCTATGGAGATTCTCGCAACTCTGGAAGAGGCTCAAGTGTTGAAACCCATTGTCGGAAACAGGGTTTTGGATGTTCTTGTCTGGCACGGTAAGGATACAGAGGCCTGGGAATTGTTTGAAGAGATGATAGAAATCTGTGATTCCG